AAACATACTCTATGTATAGAAAATTATACAAAGTGCTTTTTGCGGTGCCGTAATGGAAAAATGGATTCGTTTCAACATAATAATCCAATTACGCGCGCAGTATGACGCTAATGGGAAATTAAATCCGGCGCAAAATATCATTACCCCACCAAACATGTTCCCGGTATCATTTGGCATGAAAACACGTATTGAATTACCACAAGAAATTAAATACATCCAAATTCATACATTTCCAACTATAACGATATTCGAAGTGATAGGAATGTGAATTGGAGATGTTGCAAATCATTTTCTACTTACGCATAATAATGATTCAATGCTCACATACATGTGTAACTGTGTCGGTGTATTGCGTAAACGTAAATTACATCATGCGCCCGCCCGAGGTTCATTAGCGCAATGATTTTAGCCTCAACCGGGGAGCCCTTAATTGTGCCGCCGCCGCCCAGCATCCTGCGCGTGTCATCGTTCGACACGAAACTCTACCATTACATGTCTGTCAACATGAAAATTTGCGAATTTATTTTTACCTACCACGATTTTTTTGACGTGAAATATTTTTGCGAGGATTTGACAACACGCGTTAAATTTTAACGAAGTGTTTGCGCTATTTTCTGAATTTTTGCTTTCTCGTATTTATTTGTGACGCGATAAAGCGGAAGGTAAATAAAACAAGAACAGAAACAAATATGAATCAAATCCCATTTGCAAATAGAAAGAAAACTGATAAAAACCACCGCGGTTGCTTTGAGAGAAAATGTGGGCCCAAATCTCATATATCCAAAATATCCACAGAGTGTTTCAATAAAATACACATTTTTTAAACATAAAAAATTAAAAAAAACATTTTTCTGTAAATATTTACTTCTACAGAGCCAAAGATAAAAAAAATATATTTTTGACATATTTGACTTTTAAAAATTATGAGGATATATTCATATATTCATATGCATATCTATAAATATCAAAAATTTAGTTTAATGCATAAAAACTCTGTCGGCAGTCGAAGAGGAAAATATTGAAAATGCAATTTGACATCTTTGACGCGTTGCATCGCTGCAATATTGAGTTGCGAGAGCATGTGTGAGAATGAAGAAAAAAGAAAAATACGCGCAGTGTACCGAGAAAACTCGTCCTACTTGCCGACGTCTCTGTGCGCTTCGTACTTTATACTCTATTCAATTATGTGTAGTGCTCTCTATATTTCCTTTCACATTTATTTTAGCTACATATTCTCGTGCGCATAAGAAAGTTATTCAATATGTGCAAAGTCAACGTCAAAACATGCTCTCAAAGAAGCACAAACAGCATTTTGTAATTGCAAAACATTTTTACATTTGAAACACACAATGTTATTATATTTATACACACAACTTTTTCAATATCAGAATTTTTCAATATTTTTTATTAAATTTACTTTTTTTGCAATTTTAATAGCGTAAAAAGTGGTTTTTATATAAATTTAATATTTAGGTAAATAGATTTAAAAGTAAATAAATTCCACGTTTGACTGCAAAACGTTTTTCCACTTTATTTGCCCTCTCCGCGGTCGTTCTGATCCCGGCGTTTATTCCGAACTGAACGCTGATCCTCTGATCTCTCAATGAGCGTCTTTGATGCGCCCGTTCTCCTTAAATATTAACGTCTATGCTAATCCTCGAGGCATTCGAGCACCAACGAGCTCACGCATCAACGCAGCCAGACATCAAACCAGGCCTTCATGCCATCGACGCATATCGAGTCTTCATTTTACCAATTCTCATTTTCACTCAAAGTCAACCAACTCAACGCATATTAAGACGGAATATATGACTTGGGAATATACTCGCGCTACGGATATTTGCATGCGTAATGAAGACGCAAAGCGATGAGCAGATAAGATAAGGCGATGAAGGATTGTGAACTGTGAGGATATGACTTGCTGATAGGCGCAATCTCTGCGAAGCGCTCGAGCGTTAATATGACAAGCGCACGTTGAATATTTTTGTGTTGGTTTATCGAATGGGATTTAGCAGATTTGTGAATTTCGTGGATTATCGGATTACTAGCGTAAATAGATAAAGTTATTGCTGTGTTTTATGCTTGGATAAACTGTAAATATTTACAAAAATAACAGAAAGTTGTTTTTCGTGAATAATTAATTATTTATTTGAATATATAAATAATTACATTTATTTTTGCTTGTCTTATTAAAACTCGCAAATGTTTGGACAGTTTTGGCGCTTTTTGGTTTTGAAATATTTGATAAAACTTGTTTTAAAAGCTCAATCATAGTTAGAATTTTATAATTAAAATTTAAAATGGATAAAAATGCATTACTAGCAGTTTTTAATAAATAATAAATAATAAAAAGTAAAAAACTATACAAATATTTAATTAATTCTTAAAATTTAGTCTAAACTTACTGAATTTGCATTAATTTTCTTTAAAAATCAATTTTAAATTAATAAAAATCAAATTTTTATCTTTATCCGTTTTATTATTTACTTTAAACTTTTTTAAGGTTAACTTGAAATATTTTAACATTTTCCCTTCTGTACCCCTTGTTGTGTATTGTGGCGAAACTTTTCACTGTTAACTCAAGTTTGTTCGCGTTGTCTATTGACTGACTCTTCCCCTGTCGTTTGCCGTTCTTCGTCCGAGATGCGAAATCTCTCAAGTTTGGCGAGAAGGTAATTCTAATTGAAATAGACAAAGTTCGCCAGTGTTGGCAACGCACTGGGCTTTTAATACACTTACAACGTTAGAACTTTGCCTGTCAGCGACGCTTCGTAAAAGCGGCCAACTTTGAAATGTGCAAATTTCCATTTCGCGTTGGAAAATTCTCAAGCGCTGGCAATTTTTCATCGCGAAACGTGTAATAATCGCATCACTTGTATTATATTTATACAGAGTATTTGGTTCGTGATAGAATAACAGTAAAAGTTAGCTATGCAGACGTGAAGTTGGCAGTGAAATAGCGAATGCGAATGAGCAAATTAAATATTTATACAATGACCACCGCAGTTACCAGTCAGTTTTGTAACTACTGACGCCGTTTGAAATTAGTGTTTTGTTAATTAAATAGCTAGTGAAGTACACTTTGAATAACTTTCTATGCGTTGTGGTAATTATTAATGGGTTTGTATTATGTGGAGGCGCCGGGCTTAGAAGGATTATGCTTAGATGTAGATGTTTATATTCATGCCATAATTGCTGTTGATGTGTATATTTTACATTAAAAATTCTAAAATAAAATTTGTATGATTTATTCATTAACAATAATTAAAGTAAAAAAATTTAAATTTAAAATTTGTTTAAACGGAAATAAATTTTTGAGCAGTTTATTTTTATCATAATTTTGATCATGTTTAGCAAGATATTTTTATCGGAAACAAATTTTATGAAGGCACGCGAGCGATAGCATACGGTATTTGGTGGAGGCGCCGGTGGCGGCAGCGATAAAATGCGATCGGGTCACGCCATACTTTAGGCCGCAGCCGTGCGTTGGACGGTCGGGCCCGTCATAAATAATTTCGCGCATCGATTGTCCTCGCTCGTTTTTACTCAACGACTTCCAAACGCCGCCGCCGCCGCCGCAGAAAACCAAATTTACCCCACCGTCAACCAAAAACGACTCCACAGCATCCAATCGAAAGTATGCGTGCGGATTATTAAATTTAATCGTCGATGCCACGAAATTTCATTATCTATTCAAACATGCGACCAGCCACGACCCTCTTTCAAAAACATTCCTAATCGCTAAGTACTTTCAACACGTGTAAATTAAATTTTTATCTAATACTAATATTTCTGCTATAAAATCAATATTTTCCGGCCCGAAACCTTCAATTGTATATAATCGTCAACGCAAATATTTAAAATAATTCTCCAGTTTCGTAATATTTGCGGCGCACGTCTTTAAACATGCGCGCCGGAGACGTTGTGCAAACGTGCGGAACAAATGTTGGAACACATCTAGTTGGCAACGCGCGCGTGAATTTAGTAAATTAACACATTTCAAACATGCGAGCAGCGCAGATGCGTCCGCCACAGAGCATCGGCGAAATCGTTCGGTAAACATTCAGCGACGTGCACTATACGTTGTTTAATTTATTTGTGCGAATCGAGGCACAAAAAGAGTGTGAATCACGAGTGTGCACACAGTTTTTTTCACGCTTGTAACAACCACTAGTTAAAACTATCGAATGTTGATGAATGACAAGCGTACAGAGAAAAAAATTTTTGAACATGCACAAAGCTTGTATACAACGTTGAATACAAACAATAACAATCAGTTATTGTTTAATTTGACTGGGAAATGTTAAAAATATGTGATTTTATGCTTTTTTTATTATTTTTACAAAAATTGAAAAAAAAAGATTTTTAGGTTTTTTCTTTAAAAATTATTCAAAATTATTTTTCTAATTTTATTTTTTTTGTCTTTTAATTATCTATATATATATATATATATATATATATATATATATATATATATATAAATGAATTGCTGTTCGTTAGTCTCGCTAAAACTCGAGAACGGCTGAACGGATTTAACTTTTCTTGGTCTTGAATTATTCGTGGAGGTCTAGGGAAGGTTTAAAAGGTGAGAAAAATTCGAATAATTGCCGGGAAAATCCTCAAAACAGCTCTTTTCCATAGAATAAAATTTGACATTGAAATTCAATCATAGTTATAGTTAAATAGTTGAATTCAAGATGGCGCGCTGAAGTGCATTATTGACAAAACTTTATATGCATAATTTCTTTAAATTAAAATTGCTAATCTTATTGATAGAATTGACTCTTACTACGAGTATGTCTAGAACAAGATAGTAAAAACGAATTACATATTTATTAAACACTGCCGGAACGAAGTCGCGGGCAACAGCTAGTCAAAAATAAATTTCTTAATTTAATTTTTTAATTTTTGCCAAAATTAATTTTTTTTCTAAAATTTTTTTTTTCTCTCTTAAAATTACAAAATTTATATTTGAAAATATGAAAAAAAATCTTATTTACCTTCTCCAAACACCTGTTACTTTTCTGCTGAGAAAAATTCACGCTCGCCACCAATATAACGCCTCAAAAACTTTTGACATTCCGATCAATTTATTATTCTATTTATACGCGCCGAAAAGTTGAAATAACAAATAATCTCGCGGTCGAACGCCTACGATCCGGCTCGCTGTTTATTTCCACAGCAGCGCGCACTAGACACTCGGAAGCAAAGCATTTGTTCGCTTTTGTTGCCGGCAATTACCTGGTAAAGTAGTTGTTCTCACCGCGCGCAACAATTGCGAAACATATCGAGACAAATATCCAACAAGTGGCGTATGTGCGGGTGCGGGTGGTGTATAGGATCAATAGTCGCACTATTCGCACCGGCGACGACCGAGAGAGCACCGGGGAGTATTATTCAATGAGTAATGACTGGCAGCGGCGGCGGTGGCGGCGGCGGCTGTTGTACCTGACCCGGTGGAGGCGGTCACGCACGATGCGACGCGAACGCGAGTCGAACGCGCACTGCTCGTACACGCGCGTTCGCCACGCGTTGAGGATACGAACTGTTTTCCAGCCGCCAACGTTTTTCCTCTCTTCGCTTCAGCGTAGTCTATCGGCGACATCCTTGCACATTATTACTCCCACTCTGCTATAGCAATAGAAAAAGATAAAACACTCTTGCGTAGTTCTGCGTGTGGAAATACAAGATTTCCCATGGCGCATGCGCAGTGCGAGTATTCAGCGTGGACCAATACGCGTCGGCGAAGACAACAATATTTGTTTTTTGTGTTTGTGCGCGACACAATGCGCTCTGCGTTGAGCAGAAGAAAAAAATTGAAAATCATTTGTTTGCGTTGCATTATCCTGCTGATTCCTGCGCAAATACAAAGCGGAATGGAATTGCGTCAGCTACGCGCTGGAATTGAAGAAATTAAAAACGAATTAAAAACGGAATTGGAACAAAGATTACTGAATTAATTGCGAAAAGCAAAAAACACCATGGTATTATTTAAATCAATTGAAAAAAGTTTTCTTTTTATGCATGGAAATTTAATTAAATTTAATTCCATAGAATTTTATTCTATTCTATTTTTTATCTTCAAATAATTTTATTTTATTAAAATTTTTTTAATTATTTTTTAAATATTAATTTAATGTTATTTACTTAGATTGAAATTTTATTAATTAATTTCAAATTCTTGCAAATCGCCGGTGTTAAAATCTACGAAATTATAATTAAACCGCATCGAGAACGGAGCCGAAACGTAACGCGTGAAACCGGGGCACCGAAAGAAAGATAATCTCCCGGAATGGCACTGCTAAACTTGCAGGCGGGATTATGAAAATTACGAACACAATTCGAGCGGTAACAGGGAACAGCTGTCGGCGTCTCACAAGGATCCAAAGATGTTTCATTATTACGAATTTTATTCTTATTCACGAATATCCGACATTCTTAAAATGTTAGAATTTCGAAATTACTTCATGAGGTTTATTTTTGGGTAAATTTACTTACTTTAAATACGATGTAAGCAAAATCATAATTATTTTAGAAATTATTAATAAATTACTGTTATACACGTAGTATATTAAGCCACAAGTGTGCTAAGTAGAGTTTTAGTCACGAGAATGATTAAAAACGAATCAATCGAGTGTTTAACAACGTTTAGTCACGCAATATTTAAGATTCTTTTTTATTTTTACTTTATTTCCACGTTAAATTTAATGTATTTGAATTTTTGTTCTTTAAATTTTCAAAATTTTGAATTTTATATGGTTTTGTGCTGCACCATAGGCAAATGCGCATGCGCAAGCTCCGCCCCGTGACTAAAACTCGTGACTAAAGTACTTTAATCACGTCTTTAGCTCTACATGCTTAAAATTCCATTTTTTATGTCTCAAAACCGTGTAAAAACTGCCAAAAATAAAAAAATAAATTTTCACTTGCAAAATAAACCATATCGGAATAGGAAACAATCAATCACCATAAATATTTTCTTTGAACAATTTAATATAATATAATATAATGTAATATAATCATAATTAATGTTATTTCATAATATCATCAGGATAATAACGGCAATCTTATTATATTAATAATTTCCTGTACAATATGTAATAAATCTCAATGAATTAATTGATTAATTGCGTTCGTCATACACAATTGTTTCATAGGACACAATCTGCACGCAATTAAAACGCCGAAAACGTGAAACAGGCAAATATTACATTCAGAAAACGTTCAAATACATCCAAAGGTAAATCAACAATAGAATCGAACTAATCATATCATTCTTAGAGCTTACAATTGTTTGTCAATCTAGCTAACTAATTAACTAACTAATCAACTATCTAGGAAATATAAAAATTTATGTCATTGCAGCATTTTTATTATTTTTTCTTCTTTTATTTTATTTAGCGTTTTACCACCACTGCAGAGCGCAAAGTCATCTTCTCAAAGTCTGGGAAATTGTCAAAATTGTCAAAAAGTCAAAAATGCAAATAATCATTGGACGCAAGCGCAGTGCAAAGTTTAACATTAAAATATTCACACAACTTGTATCAGAATAAGCAAATAATTAATTATTCTGATACACCCTGTATAATTACACTAAAAATAAATTCCTCCACTTTTCAGCATTAAATCCAGCAATAAATTCGTGCTAGTTTATGCTATGTCATCTTTTCTGTAAGGCAGTTACTTAGGACAATATATTTATATTTATATTAGTATATATTTATAAACAGTTTGGTTGTAATTGTATCGTAATATATATTTTTAATTGTCGATCGAGTAAGAGTCAAAAATCGCTAACAAGCGCGTGTCGTTTTTCGCAGTTATTAAGTATTTGTTCTCATAGTAATAAAGTTGATTGATTTGATTTGCGTCTGTCAAAAAGTGAGTAGTGTGTGTAATGTGTGTTGCGTTTCGTGTTGTTATAGGTTATGTGTTGTGTAGCGTTGAGACGGAAGATTCTCTCCAGGTGCTCGCAATTCTGAAGAATTTGGTTTTATTTTGGCCTGGCAAGCATTAAGTAAATCTTTATCAAACCTATTATCACCTTGAATAAAAAAAATTTGTTTAAAATCGAAACTTTACGCTTTTTTCGATTTTAAAGTAGACATTTTTATTTTTTAAAATTTAAAAATTAAGTTTTAATATTTTTAACTATTTTATATTTTTTATTTAAAATATTTTTTAGAATTTAGAAGTTTTGAATTTAATTTCTCAAATTTTTGAATTTTTCAATATCTCAAATAAAATTTGATCAAAATTCCAAAAAGCCCAATATATTTCGATTTTTGCAATTTTAATTTATAAATTTCACCATTTAAGAATATCGAAAAATTTTCCAGATCAAAAATTTGAAAAATTTTCATCAAATTTCCAAAATAAAAATTTTATTAAAAAAAGAAAGATTAATTATTATTAATACAAACCGCAGCCATTTGCATTTTGAATAATTGACTCTCAAAATTGCAAGTTTCGAAAACTGACAGATGTTTATTGCCCCTTTTATTTGTCCCCATTTTGTCTTCTAATAATCACAACGTCAAAAGTCAAAATTTATCAAATCAAGCCATCAATCACCCATCAAACTAAATTTCTCAAGTTTTAAAATTGGTTATGCCCTACAGGCTCTACTTCTACTTTATAATTATTACCCGTGATGATTGAGGGATGATGATTGTTTAACTAGAGTTTAATTGAATCCGAACTCAAAATATTCCTATTTCAAAAATTTTTGTATTTTTTTTGTTCGCCGTTTTAAGTTGTTAAAGTTGCCTACCTAGTAGTTGATATTTGGTGCTACCCTAATCTAAACTAGAATTACTTTAAATTGTCTTATCACAAATTCCCATAATATAATTGTAATTCTAAATTAATCTAATTATTTAGTCGGTTTCAATTGATGGCTTGAGTGTTTTAATACTGATGAAATTCTTAAGCTGCAGTTAGTATTAGTTGATTATATAGGTTATGTTTAAGGCGTGATTTAAGGCTTGTCAAAGATTTACTTAGTTTTCAGCTTGCGCTAGTAGGCACCATCCTCATAATCCTCGTCATCCTCATTGGGAAAATGATGCATGTACTTATGACAAGCCCGCCCACATCCAGGGCAGTACCAGTAACTAAGCACACCCACCGAAGCAGCGAAGAGAAGATTTGGAATAGCGATCGAGAGCACCAGATGGCGCAACGTGTCGTCCCACGAATACCGCGCTACAACGACATCTGGATAGACGCGTGAGTAGTAGCACGGAAATGGTGTGCCCGCCGATTCGCCGCCATATTGTCTCGCAAAGCGTGTACAATTGACGCCTGGTGGATAACCGCATCCCTCGGCGTTGACGAGGAAACGCGTATCGGCAACATCCCACTCCAGCGGCACTGGTGGTCGATAATCGCGGAACGGCACGCGCGAATAGTTGACAAAGATTTGGTGGCAGCGCGTCGCCTCACGAGTACAGCCCTCACGGCACGACGCCCATGAGCAATTGCGCAGCCCCTCGGCGTAGATGTGCCGCGAGGCGACGCAAGTCACCGGCTCCGGCTCGTAGTCAGCGAGGAGCGCTGCCACCGCCGGGTCTACCACGAACGGGATGAGGAAGAGGAAGGCGAACACGGAGAGGATCGCTGTGGTGCCGAGACAGAGCGACGCGTAGAACTTGGCTGACTCGGCGACGGAGATCATCTCCACCTCCGGTTTTTCCTCCATTCTGACGCCGTCGCCGTCGCTCTTCTTGGCCCGATTTGTAAATTAGTTTAATTAGCAATGAAGCACGCTTTCCCCTTATGCGTCGTAGATGCTACAAAGAGCCCTTTCAGCCTCTATCCAGCAGCAGGGGAACGCCTGGAAAACAAATACATAATTTTAAAATCAATATTTAATAATAATAATAATAATAGTGTAATACAACGGTCTAAAACTATGAAAATTATTTGATTTACTTGTAAATAATTGATTAGAAAAAAGTCGTCACACTATATTAAATATTCCTTTAGAATATTGTTTTGTATTGAATTTTATAACAATTTAACGTATTATCGGTAAATAAATTTAAAAAAATCAATTTTACAGTGCTTTTCTTTAATTATTAATTTTCTAAACTAAAACTAGGAAAGCTGCACTATTTTACAAAATTTTACTAATTTTGAAACCCGTGACTAAAACCCGTGATTAAAGTAATTTAGTCACGGCCGTGGTTAAAGTACCACTTTTTGTATCTCAAAATCCTGAAAAAAGTGACAAAAATTGAAAAATTAATTTTTTGCCACAAAAAATTAGGATTTAAGAAAGCTGCACTAAATTTTACAAAATTTTACTAATTCTGAAACCCGTGACTAAAACCCGTGATTAAAGTACTTTAATCACGGCCGTGGTTAAAGTACCACTTTTTGTATCTCAAAATCCTGAAACAAGTGACAAAAATTGAAAAATTAATTTTTTGCCACAAAAAATTAGGATTTACGAAAGCTGCATTAAAATTTACAAAATTTTACTAATTCTGAAGCCCGTGACTAAAACCCGTGATTAAAGTACTTTAGTCACGGCCGTGGTTAAAATACCACTTTTTGTATCTTAAAACCGTGAAAAAAGTTACAAAAATTTAAAAATTAATTTTTTCCCACAAAAAAATTAAAATTTATCAAAAAAATTTATTTTACAACAAAATAATCCTCGTACTTGTTGCGTTTTTGAATAAATAAGACTTTTCAGCTTTTCCCAAAAATGTTTTTCTTTAAGTTTAGACCGTTATACTACACATTTATGTATATGCACAACACATGATGACAGTGAACACAATTTGATTGAAAACCTTCTCGTACCAACATCCCAAATGCTACGGCGATTTATTGCGCACTCTATGCTCGGTACTCTCAAGCAAGGAAGATCAATAACCTCTCTACGCGTTAGGGGTGACACACTTTCCACGTCCGCATCGCTCGCTCTGCACGCCGCCGTCCGGCCGCGGGCGACGAGAACTTTGAGGCAAGCCGAGAAACTAAATGTTTTTTGGTATTTTTTTATGTTTTGTTTTGTTTATACTTTAAACTGAAACCAAACAACGCACTGGATTTATTCATGGAGCTATATTATTCGTCAAAACTAAATCGGGTGCAAACGTCAACAAAAAAAAAATCAATCCTTATTTATTTATGTACGCTGTGCGCCGTGAATCGGTGAAGCGTGCTGAGCGAAACGTATCGAACGCAACAACGGCGTGACTAGAATCAGGAACAAAGAAAGCGTGCTGGGTTGTTGAGAGCGGTGAGGGTGGAAATTGCGGGTGCAATCAATATATGCATGTTTAGCACTCACACAAACACACACACGGAATTATTATTATCAATAGTGCTAAGCGTATAATAAATTTTTGTTTTTGAGGATTTTTAGCTTTGCTTACGTGATTGATCTCAGAGTGCCATGATATTGTTGCCGTTGCCACCGCCGCCTCGCTCCGTCAAATCGTTGAGAGAACCCACTTTATCAACGATATCTCTGGTGAGACCGGCGGCGGCGGCAGCCGCGGTAGCAGCCTGCGCCTCTTTCGTCGCCGCGCACCCCGCGAACCGCATCTTGGCATCATCGCCGACGACCACGGTCCGCTGGCACAACACCAGTACGGTGCACGAGACGCAGAACAACACCGTGGGCACCACCGACGCAATCATGAACTGAAACTTTTGTGTCTCCAGGTCGAACCGAGCCACCACCGACTTGGTATCCATCATCGAATAGTAGCACGTAAATCTTGCTCGTGCATTATGATCAGTGCCATCTTTACCATAGACCCGTAGAAACTCCTTGCACTCATCCCGCAATGTGTTGACACAACCCTCCAGGTTGATCAACAGCCTGGAATCATTCGCTATGATTAGATCTTCTTCCGGGGGACAAACCTTTCTGGTCTCATCTAGGGGCGCTGTGTTAAACACACTCAAATAGCTCAGGTACGTGAAGTTGGTCAGGTCTGTAAGGACATTGGTCTCGAGGAGAGATCCATTCACGCAGTCAATTGCAACCACTCCACGACTATCATTCAAGATGTTGAAGCAAGACGCCATCATGATCTTCTCCTGGGATTCATTCCATATCTCTTCCTCGGAGTCTAAGACTAATGCCCTTTGACAGTTGGATAAGTAGACCTTGTCGCCGCTGAGGAGTATAACGTTTTTATTCCGGGTTGGGATGTCTACACATCTGCGGTCACAGTTGTAGGGTGTTCGGATGCGCTCACAAGTACCTCTGTTGCAGCTGTACAATCCATCCAGGTCGATACATGTTATCTTTCCTCTACGCCCGGAGCACTTGAGAGGCGGATCGGTGTCCTTGAAGGTACACTCGAAGGCATCCGTGATGTTGATACACATCCCACTGGAGCAGTTGAAGGTCCCGGTGAGATTCTTGCACTCGTCCGCAATGCACCTGCTGCGTTTGGCGTTCTCCTGATCGATGCCATAGCAAGTTTTGTTCGCGGTGTTGGTACAGTTCGCCAAGAGGATGCTGGAGCCGTTGTAGCGCAGGTTGACGTAGATCTGCATACAAGCGCCGGATGTCTTACTCAGACACCACTCACCACAGGAGCCCCAATCACAGGATTCCACTTGCTTGGCCTGAGTGGTGGTACACATCACTGGGTCCTCCACCATGCCGTATTTCATGGCGCGCGTGGAGGGCACATAGACGGCGACTGTTAGATATACGATGGCGACGCTGCTGAGGACTAAGGTCATCTGACAGATGCAGATAGTACCACATATCCGGCCGTCTTGCGGCGGGATGATGAGGTCCTCCACCGGAATGGGTTTCTTCTTCGGCATCGTCGCGGCGGCGCTCACTACGGCTCACTGGTCGAAAACAGCATGGCGACCGCGGGTGGGTGATCGAGGGAGAGCGGCTGCGCGCGGAGACGGACGAAGGTGGACGAGGGTGGCGGCGGCAGATCAATATTTCACTGCGCCAGGCACGCAATCGATATGCACGTATGTCGTCAGCAGTGCACACATACACATTGCCGCATTCTGTGCAAGGGGGTGGTCGAAGCAAGGAAGTGCGTGTTGGTTCGTGCCCGGTTCGTGCGACCTCGTGCGATTCGTGACAACACAACAACAGCAGCGCATTGTGCGATTATCAGTGATTAGAATTAGCGTACATCCAGGGATTTGATATTTGGAGGATTGCAAGCGGTGGTCAGCGAGGTGGTGAGTTTATCTTAGAGAAAAGTTCTTGTGCTTACCTGCTGGGCCGGAGCGTCGGAGCGTCGCGAAGAGACGAGGTCACATGGGCGCCTCTCCGGTGGCACGCTTTGAGTCCATCTGGCGGGGGCCGGCGAGATCGATACGCACGCCGCTGCCGCCGCCGCCGCGCGCCGCGACGACCGCAGTGCCCCGACCGAGCTGGCAGTGAGCTCGCAGCGAGCCGCGCCGCGAGTGTGACCCTCCGCTGGTGCCTGGTGCCGCCGCGCCGCGCGCGCGATGTGAGTGCCCGCCGCCCCCGCCGATGGTGTCGCCTGCGCGCCGCCCCGTGCCGCCATGGAAGAGGAGCCCGGCGCCGAGGAGCAGACGCTCAAGCAGAAGGTGCTCTTCTACATCACCGCCTTCTTCGTCCTCCTCGGCATCTTCTCGCTGTTCGCCTTCCTCTTTCTGGTGCCTTTCGTCATCGACCCGGCGTTCACCACCGTCTTCATGGAGTTTGACGAGCGGCCGGCGTGGTGCGTGACGATGGACGCCGAGCGCCGACTGGGCGTCTCGAATTGCACGTGGTCGTCGTGCCGCGAGGGTTGTACCAAGGACACGTACACGTGCACACAAGTGCGCGTCAACTATCGCCTGGTGCCAGCCGATTTCAACTACTCGCTGATTGCGCTCCCCACAGACGAGCCAACACCGCCGCCACCGCGTGATCGCCGCGCCGCCCCCGATCATCCCGCTGCCGAGCTGGATCGTGACTACGATTACTACGTCGCCGAGGCAGAGCCCACCGGTCTCATGGGCAACGACTCCGAATGGTATTATGTCGGAGCTAAACTATTACCAAACGTCAAGGGCTGCGGATATCCACCGATGCTCAACTGCTCTATTTGGCTGAAGAGGTATCAGGACATCGGCACCAACTTCTCCTGCTACTACAGCCGCGTTGATCCCGGCATCGTCATTAGTCACCTGGACATGTGGCAGGTGTACATGAACCTCGTCTATGCCATGGCCATACCCATTCCCTCGTTTATCCTCTCCATCATATATTTGACCTTTGCCTACTTCAAGATCTACAGTGAAGATGAAGAAGAAGTGCCGTTGGAGAAAAACGCCGAGGCGATGGACATGGAGGGCGAGTCAAGTCTACCCGATGAGACACCCCTTCAACCCACATCCAGCGGGGCTACACCTTCGGAAGCATTCCGTGAAGATCTCGCCAGTTTTGGGCACCATTTCAAGGTCGCCATGGCGGATGAGATGAGCCGCGAGAGTTTCGCCGATGGTGTCGCCAATTCAATTTCAATCCCTGGGTGAGTTTTCTAAGTCTAAGAAAACACTGCGACAGTTTTAACCTGCTTGGCACCAACTTTCGGCTACTTGGCAACCTCACCACGGGTATATCATCAATCATGGTGTAACATTCCGCTAACATTCCTCACCCTGTACATGGCCATTACGTGATGTTATTCCTGATCCCCTCGGATACATATTTTATGCATGCGACCACACCGATCGTTTCCGACTTGATGGACGACTCACTCGATAACCGGTTATTCATTGGTTATTCAAAGTGCGCGCACAAATTGCGAAAACATTTCCCTGTTTTTTTTTGCCGCAGGATTCCGCTCTTATTCACGCTTGTCGGTGGTAAAAAGTTGGAGGAAAGTTGTAACGGTTGTTACACTCGCTTATTTTCTTCGGGGTCGTGCTGCGCTGCGGCAGTTATTTTGTTATTTACCCCTCTCTCTCACTACTGCTGCACATAATTTCACGTCACGCCACATTACCGCATCGTAGTGGAATAAATGTTATGGTTTTGTTGTTTTTTAGGCATTTGACAACAATGACGACGAGTATTTCGATGACGGGCGGCCCGATAGCGGACATTTAACGTGTCGCCCTCTGTGCGCGAAGAGCTTCGAAGTTTGTGCATGCGCGCGCGTGCCACCGCCCACCCGCCGCCCAGCCGCCTCCTACCTTCTCAGGCTTGAGTGTTTTCGTACTTCTTTTGATATAACCTAACACGCAGTGCGGGGCGGAGCTTGAGAAACGGGCAGCAACACTCTCCGAGCGAAAGCATGGGGAGGAGGGACAGGAGGAGAGTGGCGCAACACTTGTTATAATCATTATTGATATCTGCATATATCTATTACATTTATCGCGGAACGTGATTTTTCGAATTTTACGTGTGTTATTGCTTTAGATAGAAAGAGAGAAGAGAATTTCAGCCGATAAAACGCGAGAGGCGTTGCAGAGACCCGCCCACCTCGTCCACACACACACACAACCCACAATACACCAACGCACATTTAAAATGTAAATAATAAAAACCAAAAAAAAAAATAATGCTTACAAGACACAAAAAATGGTAAAACATGCACCAAATCGATGTGCCGATGTGTGACATGACATGCAATACACTCTAACTTGTTCACTTTTACATGTTTTATATATTTACGTGTTTGTCATTGCGTCGAATTGATTTTCGGCTCGATACACCATCATCGATTTGTGAGGTTATGTAGTTGCGTGCGCTCGCCTCACACCCAATCACGTATCAGAAGTCAATAATTTCAATGTACAACCACAGAAACACACACAGAGCGACATTCATCGATTCGATCAATCATTAATATATTATACAACTAACGTAATCGTTCGACGAGATGATAAGAGCCAACCCGTCCGTTTTGCTTTCATCACACAAACACTTTCTTCTCTTTAGCCAAGTCAGTAGCAGTTAGCGAAATATTAAATGTGCTTTTACTTTGATCTTCGAAATTAATTGCCGATGCGTGACGAATCGATATTGACGACAAACCAACAAAAAAAACAAAAATTATATAATATATACATATATAAATTAACTTGCTGTTAGATTACGTGCCTTCCATATGTATCTGTTGACATTTGACATTATACGAGAAACACAGAAACGAAAATGATGCTGGTGAGAAGAACAAAAAACTATTTATTAAGGTGGTCGGTGAAAAGGTGACGAGGAGTTTGTTAGCAGCGACATCTGTTGTTCACTAGCTTTGCCGCGAACACTGTTGCCATATGTGTGTGTGGCGAATTTGCAAAAACTGTAAAAAAATAAAACCAGAAACTTAAACGTAATTGTTATTCAATTAGAACAGCACTGACTACTTGTAACGATTTAAACAAAAACGGAACAAACGCAAGCAGAGATGAAAAAAAATTGGAATTCAAAATGAACACGACATAAAAGAGAAATAAAATGAATATGTACATAACGTTCTTCTAGATTTTATTCTAGATCGTTTTTTAGTTGGATTACATGCAACACACACACACAAATACACATAAACACACAATATGTAAAAATTGTAAAAATTAGAAACACGCTACACACGTTTTGGGTACCGGGGAGCCACGCCCACCGTATGTCATTTGAACTCCTCCCACATTCAAAGCACACCTCCCACTTGTTTGCTTATGTGAAGGCGTGGCTTTCACTCCGACCAATCGTGTATCATACATACACACCCACCACGCCCATAATGAATTTGACTAAGTAAGAGACAGCTTTAACTAATTAAAAAATAAAAAAAACTATTGTCCATCAAACAAACAAAAAAATATTGTAACACAGAAATTGAAAAAAAACACCGAACATTGTTTATAGCTTAGCGAGTCAAAGAAAAATAGAAAAAAAATTGACGATGACAGATTCATGCAGATTTCAGCATCACTTGTGATATACTCGTATTATATAAATATTTAACTTGTGTTGGCGAAGAAAAAATAAATTCGAATCAAATTACAGAATAACTATATTTAAGGATTTTAACGAAAGTTGCCGCAGGACGAAGAGGATTGAAAATGAAGAGAAAAAAATTTCTGTTTGTAATTTCAAACAGAAACCGAGAAAAAACAAAAAAATATGACGTTTAGCTTAGAAAATCACTTTGAAGCTGTTGTGCTTGACTCTACGGACTCGCTTTTGGACGACGGAGAAGTTGTAATGTTTTTTCATCAACCTGAGAACAAATTGAGAGAAACTGTGAGGCAATTATCGCAATATATTTCTTCTTGTACTTCACTTGAGATTCTTCAATGTTCTGTTCCACTTATACACACACATAACGCCTATAAGCCCCGCCCACTAGTCCATACTCCGCCATCTATGGTTTGGTTCGTGTACTTTCCACTTACAATCTTTGCGCGCTCACGATTATCAATATGTAAACCATTAAATAAAAACAAATAACTTATTATTATTATTATGATTGATTATATAATATATTTGCAAATATTTATAAACATCATTTGTGATACACTGCTCATTTAGGAGTACTAAAAAATACTAATAGATATTTCAATAATACAGATTCTAAATATCACTCCAAGCGTACGTATTTTATTTTTTCATACTGCGACATAACCTGAATATAACCTAATGGTGTTTTGATGTGTATTGAGTTGCCTATATTGTCCCGGTTTTTATTTTCGTCGTTCGCCGCGGTGAGACGCATTTCGCGTGCGAATTCAGCGGCGGGGCACAACTTAAGTCACGAAGCGCATCAGCGAGCTTATTGTTACGCTGGTCGCCAAGCAACGCGCGTCGACACGCGACAAGTGAAAGAAATCCGGTCCCCGGCGAGAAGGTGAGATTGTAGTCCCACCACTACTCTTTCTTTTTCTCCTCTCGGTCAGCATCGTGTCCGGCCGGCTGCAGCGTCTACCTGTTGCTTGCGCTGCAGACTTAAGTCAATACGCGCTGAGTGAATCGCACAAAAGTTGACTTTGAGTTTTAAAAACCCTGTGAAACACTGTTAATAATTGAATTTTAATGTGTTACGATGTGAAATTGAGTGCGTAGTGGTGATATGCTGTGGGTTTAAGTGAAGACAGTGAAGAAAAATGACAGGTGGTGGCCTGGGAGTGACCTGATTGTGAGAAACCAGATCTAGCGAGATGTCCGCGTATCATGACCCGGTGGAGGACGCCGATGAGGATGGCGACAGTGAGGCATCGGATGTGCGCTGGCGTGATGATGACTGCTGTGGGGAATGTCAATCATGGCTTAGACTGAAAGATAACAACAATCGTTCGGATACTGACTCGATGACAAAAAGGTAAAGTGGTGAAAGATGAGATTTTGATTTAATTGATAAGAGACAACCTTGACTTAAGTCAACTTCGGTATGTGCTACGGTTGCAAAAGTATTAAAATTGCTGAGTGTGCTGACTGGTTGATTGGAATTTTAATGAAATTCATACGAAATTGACTCATGGATGATTTCCGTTATATATAGAGTGTTATATTAAGTAAAAATTGTTTGGTCTAATTTGTCGTTTGAGTAAGGTTTTTTTGTGAGGTTATTAATAGCGAAGGATGCGTCGTGAGCGCGTGCCAACGACGCGCAGCGTGCTCAATGAGTGACTGATGTGAATTAATGAAAAATTTCAAAGTAAATTTAAATTTAAATTTTAAAAATTTAATTTTTTGTATTTTAGTATTAATTATTGTTGTGTTATGGGTAGATTTGTCACTGTAGGCTCAGTAAGATATGGTGTACGATTGGGAGCGGTTTCGCCGCCACCGCCAGGCGTGGGCCGACCACGATACCGCGCTCAGCAGTGCTGTTGGCCATCACCGACGCCCGCCCGGATCCCCCCGCCGACGACGCCGACGGCCAAAAATAGCCGCGACGCGCGCGATATTTTCGGCACGGCCCCGCCGCCAGTACGCGGCCAGCAGCAGCTGAGGCGGCGCGGCCCGCTGTATGAGCGCCTCCTCTGCGACGGCGAGTGCGAGCCCGAGCTGGACCGCCTGCCGCGTTTCCGCTTCGGTGGCAACCGCGACCACCGCCGCTCTGATAAAGAACTCTTCTTGCGTGAACTGATGGACCGCCGTCGTAAAACGCCGGTGGTGGCGTCCGGACCGCCCACGCCACCTATACCACCACCACGCAATCGACACACACCACGCTCACCGGAACCCACGCCAAGTGTCGAAGGGCATCCACTACGGACGATGCCATTACGAAGTGCTTCATTCTCCGAGGTGGATTACTCCACTGCGGATAATAAGTATGTGATGACCAAGCCACGCCTTGATGAAGAAGCTCCTCCTACTGAACCTACACCCATGGCTAGTAATTTACTTGCAACTTTACCAAGGGTGAAAAAGTGTACGAAAAATGATTATGAACCTGTTTTGAAACCCAGTGTGACTATCGTCGAACAAGAGTGTAAACGCAACAGTGACTCCTCCTCCTCACAAACAGACCAAACCCTCCAAGAGAAGAAACGAGATAAATCTCGACGACGGAAAGGCATCTATCTGGATCAATGGCCTAATGAAGTCCTTCCAATTAGTGACCTCCTGCCTAACTTCACCAAAGACAATAACACACCTTCAAGCTCCTTAGCTCCGCCCTCAACTAATACTCCACCCTGTTGGTCCACTAGTGAAATCCCCAAAGTGCAAATCAGTGCGGAAATTGATTGTCCAGACGTCTGGACTAGTTTAGACCCTCCTGCAATCACTGAAGAAACAACACAAGCCCAACCCACACCAGGGGATACAGAATGGTCACGCCCACCTCTATCAACACAAACATCTGAAGAAAAAGATACTCTGCGAATATTCAAACCTCCACAATTACTCAGAACTGATTCCCTTTCTGAGGGTGAACCCGAAGATCGCCGCTCAGAAATAATCCCATCGGATGTATCGGATTGTGAAAGCCGTACCTCCGTGGGTAATGAATCCCCGGGTTCAGGACCACACACTCCACGAAGATATTCAAAGCGTCCACTTCGAGGCCCCTATGGGCAAATGCTCGAAGCGGAAATGAAGAAACCAGATAGAAAGAATCAGTGCCCTGATTTGAAATTTTTAGAAGACCTATCCCCGCCTCCTGGGGGAGGTGCTTCCGGGTTAGGAGGCGTGGCTCTTTCAGCAAGCAGCTCAATGGGCGCAGCGGATAACAAAAGCAGGTCTAATCGCCGGTGTAATAATCATTCCTTGGACGATTCACAACTTAAACATCAGCTGTCACCTTCACCTTCGCACTCACCCTCACCATCACCATCCCCTAGTGTATATGTAGTTAAATGTCATCCTTTGAAGCGGAAAGCAAGTGTTGACTCATCATCAGCGCCTACGGATCAACAGGATGGAAGTGGTAGTAATAGCAATGGTAATAAATTGGTAGTGTCTCATCAAAGGACCACGTCGAGTCCTTCAAAGTTGGAAGGGTTTCAACCCCCGGAGGCGTCGGATGAATTATTACAGCAGTTACTGCGAGGTAGTTCGGAACAACTTGCTTTGAATGTAAGTATTTTTTGTATTTTTGAGGTTAGGTTATGAAAAAATGTCCGCTGGATATAAAAATATTTAGTAGGAAAGTTTCTGGGATGTTTTTTCAACGATTACTGGAATTAAGACGTTGCAGACGTCGAATGTAGGATGCGCCGTGGTTAATTTTAGACGGACTTAGAGTTTGTCAATATTTTCTCGCACGCGGCCATTTAAAAATAGTGTGACGAAACTGACTGATGAGAAAAATCGGAATTTCTGGCCAAAAATTACTTTTACGTTGCCCACACTAAATTATACAATATTCCCCCAATGATTTTTTATAACACTCAGTATATCCCTATGTATACCATGTGTTTAAAGTGCTATTTTAAAATTTCGATGAGAAATATTTGAATATTTATATGAATCACACACATCTACACACCGATTTGTTATGACACACGCGTGGCGCGCACGGAAGGCGAATAATTTTAAAATCGACCCGCGCCGACGCGCCGCGACGCAGATTGCACACGTCGGCGGGCGCCGCGACGCTACACTCACACTCATACGTGAAACGCACGCACCGAGCAAGCAGCGCCGCCGCCAAGGTGTGGCAGCGGTCTCGCGATCTTCACGCCGAATTTCACGCACGATTATTGCGAATCCGCGAGAGTGATTACAATGTAAGCGGGTATTCAGCGTTGTGTGTCGCGATGGGCGATAAGGGTGATGCGGGTCATTCGGATGGCACCCCCGTGGGCGCCGGTGAGGAGCATCCTGTTGCGCCTGTTGCCAACGGCGGCAACAGGGCCATCGCGCCAGCTTCCGAGGTGGAACAACTTGTGGAGTCTACAGTGCCGTCGGTAAAAAAATAATAAAAACAATTTTTTTAAATTTAAAAATTTTTTTAACAAAAAATGTTATTTTTATAATATTTTATTATTGTGTGACCTTTTAGGACACAAGGACACACGTGGTCATCGAGCTGTACGACACCGAGCGGCATTACGTTGAATCTCTACAGATTCTTGTCACGGTGAGTTTGTAACACACAAAAGAAACCAAAACAAAAGACATTGAAGACAAAGAGTTTGTTTTGTTGCGGTTTTCATACTGTTTCCTTGAAATTTCCGCTGAAACTGGAACAGCCCTCAAGGGACTGTTTCCTAACCTAGAAATACAAACACTCAAACAATACAAAATGGCCGCACTTGACTAAAAATACTTCTTTTTATTCAACATGTTAACCAAAAAAGAATTTTAAGTCTCACTGGTTTGGAATTGTAATTATTTTTATTGAGTGCGAGCACGCGGCATATAAATAAATCGATTGTGCGAATGTGAATGCGAATGCGCTCATAAAAACGCGAATTATGACGCACACTTAAAATTGAGAGGCGTTTCAATAAATAACTAATGAATGGCGGGCGGAGCACATAACCTCAATAATAAATCATCTAGATTTGTTTTTGTAGAAATTGTAACCTATATATGTATTTGATTGTTTGTGGTACAGAAATATTTGGAGCCATTAAAAAGCCCCGAAAATGCCGGCCTGCTCGATGCGGCGCTGGTCGACGAGATCTTCTACCAAGTGAGTCGTTGCTAATAAATTGATTTACGAGCGAAATTATTAATTTTATTTTTAGATACCCGCACTGCACGGCCATCACAACACGTTTCTCGACGACCTGAAGAAACGCCTCGATCACTGGGACGTTCAGCAGAAAGTCGGCGATGTTTTATTATCCATGGTAAACATAACCTTAACTCATCATGCACCAGCATTATTCATTTTGGTGTATTTTAGTATTCTAACCCAGTTGCAACCGAACTGTACACGAACTACGTGAACAATTGGAACCGGGCGAGGGAGATCTACAAGACTGCCCAGCAATCCAAACCGGCATTTGCTAAATTCTTAGAGGTACCACTTTATTCTCTTTTTCAATATTTGTAAGAAACATTGAATGTGTTTTAGGCAAGTGCAAAAGAACACAAAGGAAAACTAGCACTTGGTGAATTACTAATCAAACCAGTTCAAATCTTTCCCAAATACGAATTGTTGATTCGACGTCTCATCACTCACACAAAGACATCTCATCCGGATTATAATCTGTTACTCTCAGCGCAAAGGGAACTCCACGAGCAAATACTCAAAATCAACTGCACGGAACGCGAAGCACTCGATCTGGATCAACTGAGGGAGATTGAAGGTTTGGTTGAAGGGTTGATGGAACTGGTAGCGGCTGACCGTCAATACCTTCGTCATGATTCAGTCCATATGAAGGCCCCGGGAGGGGGACTCAAAGAACGCGCTTTGTTCCTCTTCTCAGACCTTTTGCTCATTACCAGCATCAAACGTAGAAGCGGCACTACCCGGAAACCCGTCACCATATCCGGTGTGCCAGGGTCTCAAGGTAGTGTCGCTAGCACCTTGGAAGCTAACAAATACAAATTGCTCATGAAGATCTCCCTGGAGGAATTGGAGATTGTCCGTGCGAAAGATGAAAATTTTAGGCAGATGATGCTTGAGATTGAAAAGTTGACTGAGGATATAGGTACCTTGAACCAGATTCAAGACCTAGTATGGTCCCTGCATAGAGGTCATGGTCAATTGGATGAGATAGTTCGGGAAATGTTGGGAAACATGAGCAAACAGTTGAATGAACAACAAAACTCAGATTCACAGTTATGTTGTTTGGATCTAAGTGTTACCACCAGTGCGGAGTTGGTATCCCTGGTGTTTGCGAAACCAGATAAACGGGCTTCCTGGGAGGAAAGCTTCAATGAAGCCAAACATAAACTAGCGATGTCAGGTGATAGAAGACCTCATCCAGAACTATTAGCAACAGTCCCAATCAGAAAAACCAGAGCAGGTTTGCAATTCACATGCGCAGCACCCACGCAGGGTGAACACGGTCGAGATGTCTGGGTGTGCAATAGTGATGGTTATGTTGGTCAAGTATGTGTGCTATCCCTACAACCCGAACCCAATGTGATATCCTGTAATGGCGTGTGCAACGCGCGGATCCTATGCATCGCTTCCGTTCCGGGCCTCAAAACTGATCATCAAGACTTGAATGATGAGGTGACCTCTAAAGATCCACCACAGAAAGAACCTCAGATACAGTTTGATAGCAGTTCATCCAGTGAATACGACGAGAGGAGTGATGAGGAGTCTGTTGACCCATTGGGGAGTAAACGGGAGCTGTTATCCACGCAAGCCACGCCTACTGCTGGTGGACAGGTTAAGAGTGTTGGTTGTACACAGGAAGTGGGAGATTCCGAAGAGGCGGATACTTCGGCATCTACCATGTGGTTGGGCACTGAGGATGGTTGCATACACGTGTATAATTCAAGTGATAATATTCGCATCAAGAAGAATAAGATACGCTTACAACATGGTTCTGCCATCTTGTGTATAATGTATGCAACTCAACATAACCTTCTTTGTTAATTAATTAATCATTATTAATTGTTTTGTTGTAGTTATTTAGAAAACAGAGTATTTATTTCTCTCGCAAATGGTGATTTGATTATTTACGAACGCGATTCATCAAGTAAGTTATGAATAAATAGAATATATTTGAGGTTAAGTTATGTGTTTTGTTCATAGGTGGCGCTTGGAATACCAATGCTCCTATAACAATGCCAATTGGAAGCACACAGCAACCAGTGTCTAAGATGTTACCAAACTCTGGAAAACTGTGGTGTGCGTGTGGTAACTCAATAAAAGTCTTAAACGTCGAGACGCTTGCGGTTGAACATACCTTTGCCGCCCACGGCGACGCCTACAAACCAATCGCATGTCTCGTAGTTGCCGGAAATGGCGTATGGCTCTCACTACAAAACGCCGCCATGATTAAATGTTATCACGCTGCTACGTTCGATTTACTCTGTGAGGTTAATGTCGCTCCGGCTGTCACCAAAATGCTAACAAGTAAGTATTATTAGATTATATACTATATTGTAAGGTTATGTTGTGTGAGGTTGGTTGCATCTTTTTATTCACTTCTGTTGAAGGTTGCGATGACATCATTCGCCAACACAAAGCGGCATGCCTTCGTGTGACTTCGTTACTAGCGTGTAAAGAACTCCTCTGGATTGGCACTTCTGCAGGGGTGTTACTTACCATGCCCCTCCCACATATCGCCGCTTCTGCAACACGTCTTACCAGTGTTCCGAGTGTAATGGGTGTACCACATGGTCATACCGGTCATGTGCGGTTCTTGAGCCATGTTGAGATGTCCACGGAGGCGGCAGGGGTTGTTCCACTTCCGAATCAATCACAAGCGAGTATCGCACCGACGTCAAGTCAGCGACACTCCGCCCACAAGACTAAATCCGAACGTGCGCATGCTCACAATCACGCGAAACTTTTGGTGATCTCTGGCGGCGATGGTTATGAAGACTTCCGGAATTCGAATCTGTCAGAGGTCGCCGGGCGGGAGGACTCAACCAATCATCTGCTGCTGTGGAACATTTAGTCCCTTAGAAGCGTGTTGCACTATTGGCCTAACTCAAACAATTCGCATTTAATGCATGACTACACGAGTATACTTAAAATGAAAAGAAATATTCAAAACAAAAGTGATAAATGCATTTGTTTTGCACGTTGATTCGCCTGTTTTCACGACAACACGAAGAGAGAACATGTTTCAGAAACAAACAATTATGATTATATTACGTGTGATAATAATATTAAGTAAGTAACTTGTACATACGGGTCGGTAATCTCTGCAGTGCCGATTTATTTTTGCAATTTTACGTTCCTAACTCAAAATTTTTTATTAGTAAGTGCAATTTTTTTCACACACATACTTATTGTTTATAGATTTATTTATAGCTAAATGTTACAGAGTAATTTATTACGTTCTATTAAAGCTAAGTGCATAAAGTTAAGCTCAAGAACACACACACATCAAACGTTGTACGTAATTCTGTTGTATAAGACATGAAAGACTCACGAAAAGCACTCGTTATTTCGTCACCAACTTTTAAAAACTTGAATAAATACATGTTTACTATAGGCAACCCAATTTACAGCGTTTTTGGTTTTTACTTGAAAATAAAAATCAAATCAATTATGACTTATATTACAATTACAACAATTCTAGAAGTGAACGTTATTTTTATATTGTTGATTTGAAGCCAGGTAACAATTAAATGTTTCTTTTTATCACAATTATAAAAATGTAAAAATAAACAATCAAAATTAAACTAAAATTGCATTAAAATGTATAATTTGTAATGCAGTATATGACAGCTTTAATATTTTTGTTATAAACTTGAATTATTTTGTTTATTTGATATTTAGTTTCAAAATTCAACTGTAGAGACCGCTACGATGCAGTCTCGTGCACAAAAATATTTGTTTATCACAGTCTAACCTTAAATATTCCACAATTAACTGGAATTTCGTATCATTTCATCATCTCTCATATTATCACTATTACTATGTGTATACGGTGCAAACTCTAAGTACAAAATGGTAACATATTTTCGCATTTTCTAACTGTACATATTAATTTTGTTTCATATTTTTAATAGGTAAAGGTAGCAAATTTGAAACTTGCTTTCGTCCATCCGGATTTGGGAATCGGCGGCGCTGAACGACTGGTTGTGGATGTTGCAGTTGCACTGAAATCTCAAGGAGTACAAGTTCAATTCCTAACAAATCACTTTGACTCATCGCATGCTTTTGATGAACTCAAAAATGGACAACTGCCAGTGCATGTCATTGGCGATTGGCTCCCAAGGCACATATTTGGAATATTCCAAGCAGTTTGTGCTTATTTTAGAATGTTATACCTTTCTTTAGTGTATTGTTTCTTCATGAGGTTTGTGACCACAGACAATCCAGATGTTTACTTTGTGGATCAAATTCCAATGGCTGTTCCTATCCTCAAATGGACTGGAAAAAGAGTGATCTACTACTGTCATCATCCTGATTTGTTGGCTAGTCCAGAAGGAGGTTCTTTAAGAAAATTCTACAGATATCCACTAAACTGGTTAGAGGAATATGGAACATCTAAAGCTGATGTCATCTTAGTCAACAGCAAGTATACTAAAGAAATATTTCTAAAGACATTCACTAAAATTGCTAAAAACGATCAAACTGGTCAAAACCTGCGCATTCTGTATCCTACAATTGCGTCATCGTTTTTGGATGACATACAAGTCGCCAAGAAGCGCCCCCTGCATGAAATCGCACCGGAAATTGAAACTACCAAACCTGACGATGTCGTTTTTCTGTCAATCAACCGATATCACCCCGCTAAACAACTAGAACTCGCAATTGAAGCCATGGCAAAGTTACGCGATAAACTTGCACCGGAAGAATATCACCGTGTTCATCTCATCATGGCTGGTGGGTATGATCCGCAGTCGACCATCAACGCCACCTACTTCCGAAAGTTGGTTAACCTCACGCACCAGCACGACTTGATTGTCAAAGTTGTGTTCCTCAAGTCGCCGTCGGATAAACTCAAAGCCGAGTTGTTGAAAACAGCGGATGTGTTGATCTATACTCCGACTAATGAACATTTCGGCATTGTGCCTTTGGAGGCGATGGCTGCTAAGAAAGCTGTGATTGCTTGTAATAGTGGAGGACCTCGAGAAACGGTAGATAGTCAAGTAACAGGTTATTTATGCGAACCGTCGGCGGACAAGATGGCGGAGTGCATGAAGAGGTGCCTCAAAAAGGAAGCTGTGAAGAAAATGGGTGAGAAAGGTTGTCAAAGATTGAATCAGTTGTTTAGCTACGAGGTATTCAAGAAGGAGTGCATGCAGATTGTTACGAATTTATACGAAGCTAAGTGAGGACGAGTGTTATCCAGTTTTAGGTTTGGTAAGGTGCATTTGTAAAGTTGCTATTTTTATATCATTAAATGAATATTCCTGGTTTCCGTACGCAGTGCGACTATTTTATCAGCGATGTGAGGCCGCCACGCGCAAGGTCAACAAAAATATATTGCGATAATTCTATTATCGTTGAATTAGCATAATTCTAATAATTACAAAGTCGCGGTTCTCAGTATTTTAGCGTTAATTACGCCAAACTTGTGTATTTTCCACAATATTGTGTAAATTACAAGTTTTATGAACACATTTGGAGTGAAAAATACTTTTAGGTGTTTGAACGTTGCTAATGGCAACCACAGAAAAACAATTGAGTAAATTTTGATTAAATCACTATCAAAATTTATTTAATTACCCAGTTGCGTGCCTCAAACTAATATTCAACATATTCAATATACACTAGATTATCATGTACACTTTTATGAGGATGTGTCATGTTGAGTTACTGATTATTGTTTTAAAACAGTTCGTATATCATCGCGAGAGAGATTGTGGCGATCGTTCACTATCGGAATGCGTTCCACTGACACTTCTTTAACTGCTTCGTGTAACATTATACCGCTCTTTGTTTCACTGAAGCGAAACGTCGTATACGATCCTTGTTGTAGGCGGGCGAGTGGGAATAGTGATAAACCGCACTCGTTTCCACTCACCCGCACCGGTATCTTGTTTCTTTGCGTGCGCTTGCGATCGCACACGAGTCGGCACGAAGCTTTGCTCTCGTATCTCCGCGTTCCGCGTGTTTGCGCCGGCAGTCAGCGAGCGGCGTTCACTCGAGTCGGTCGTTGCACGCCTGTGTGCGATGCGTGTGTGATAACACGAGCGAACATAAACAACAACGACGCGGAACCGACTTGGGGGGCGAAGAGTGTAACCGCGCATCACTTTGATCTGTGTTCATCATCTGCGGCGGGGCACTCTTTCACTACACCGCTGCTGCTTCTTCTGCGACGAAGATACACAAGGCGAAGAGATGCGGACGTCGTCGTCGGCACGGCAGCGCGCACCACGCGAACGGTGATGTCTATTTTCGTCTGCGGTGCTGGTCGCGTCCATCTCGCGCTGGGATTATTTTCGAGGATTTGATTTTGGATGGATCCATGTGTAAAAAGTAAGTCATTCAACATTTTCCATTGCATAACATTTGTATACTTTGCAATAAAACAAGAAAAAAAGAAGAATTTGCGAGGGCAAACAAACCGTAAGTGATTTTAGTCAGTCAGCATTAGCATCCACGGTGATGACGAGATCAGCTAAGTCAGTCGCGCATGCGCGTATTGAGCCGGTTAGCTGAACTCCACTTGATTGACCCGCATTAGTCAGTCAGTTGTGTGTTGTTGTTATTTCTTTCGCAATTTTTGCATAGGTTTCTTATCTGTTATCAACTTTCAAACACGTGCCAAACTGGTTAATATTTGTTATCTTTGCCCGGGGAAAAAATCACGACTAGATTTCGTGATGTTTCATCAGTTTAATTTACATGTCGAGCGCAGTTAGAAATAGAAATTACCCTTTCGTCTGTAAATATGACTTTTGACTTCAAACGTCGCTGCGGAGACATAGGGAGAACATCTGTTCAAAGAACTCTTCTTCCTGTGGGATAATATTAACTTTTAGAGTTTAACTTATTTATAGACATAAATATTAATATTTATAATGAAAAACTATGTTATTCACTCATGATGAAGTGAATTACACGCAGATAAATCATTCCCAGTTGTTGTAAATCCCAACAAATACAATGAGTGTTGACTTAAGTCACTTGAGTGAGTTGTGTGTGATTCCTGCAGTGTTTACACAACTGCTTTTAGTTTTAAATTGATTATAATTGAAATGTGTCTAAATTACGCTGTGAATAATTTAAGTCACATACAAATGACTTAAGTTAAGTTTAAAATCACCCTGTAGATTCTGGCAGGGATAGTTTATTCGCTAGGGAAATATTCTTACATCTTCTATTCAAATATTGTTCAGTGAGGAGGAAAACGGATAGTGTACTAGGTGGAAAAGTGGAAAGCACAGCACGCTCATGTTGTATGTAGGTGCAACGACAATGGGAAATACCTTTCGGAATGTTTGCATGTTGCGCGGTTGGGGTAGCTCCACCCTCGGTCAGGTGGAACTAGGCGCGATACGAAACATTAAACAAAAGACGCCTTAATAATAGACTACGGTCTCATAGAGAGAGCATATTCAGCATATCGCATACATGTCGTGTTTCTCTTATGCAGGCCTGTATTAAACACGTAATAATTTAAATTAGAAATTATTTCGTGTATATGATCCAACTTTGTATGTATTTATCTATGGGTAAATGTAACTTCCGCGTAGCTGGTAGAAAATCGTTCTTGCAGCTTTTATACACGTAGATGTATATTCATTCTACCTAGGAAACAGGTAGTTTTCCAGAAACTAACGCACAAAAGTTTCGAAAAGTTTCCAAACGATGTAAAGACTTGATGCTAGCGCAGAGGTAACTAGGAGGGTACTTATACTTAGGCATTTTAAGTCATTTCGTCGACGGTGCGTTCGTTTCTACCTGCCGCGGACGAAATTACCGAGTCACGCAACTTTTCGTCAGCGATGATGACGGTGGTGGTGCGCCAGCACATCACACACACATTCACAAACACTAATATTTGACGAGACGCCGACGTAAACTATTTCTAACCACCTGAAAACATCAAATAATCTTCAAGGTTTATCAGCACCAATAAATTGCATCTAATGGATGTCTTTGAAGGTCAATTTGGGCGAAGTTTAAAGATTGCTGTGGGTCATTAGGAATAATTGTCGTCCGCATCCACAACCGCACTTTGTGATTATCCGCTTTGAGAAGTTCGGATTATATATTATACAAACTTAAGTTGGGGCCGTGTTGCAAACTTGAATCTCTACGGCTGCATAGGCATTGAGGAATGAGAGTTACCGAGTTACAGTTAGTTGGGAGCCTGTTGGATGAGAGTTCACTCGGTTGTCGGTCGGCTTATTAGGCGAATGATGTTGACACGTTGACACGCTGCGTCGGTGACAATGGAGCTAGTTTTAGTTTGCTGCAGAAACAAGGTCAGAAAATGTTTGAAAGGAAAAAAATGTCAAAAGTCATGAAAGCACTTATTGTCCCAAAACCTCTTTGATTAGAGATTATTGTAAACATTTATAATGTTTACAGTTAGCTGATAAGCTTTTATCAGTAGTTTTTAGGTAGGAAATATATTATTATAATCCATATAACTTTAAATGTTATTTTGTGTTTTTTTTTGTGTTGGTTGTACCGGACAAGTTTGCAAATGTCAGTTGCACAATCCACGTCCATCGTATGCTCATTCTAAGCGCTTCTGTTTCAGTTCAGCTCGCAGCCAGCGGCAGGCCGACACAGGCACATCAAGCTCAAATCGAAACCGGCAGCGTAATCTTAATCACACCCCCGAGTGCAAAACCACCCTCCAACTATAATCCACACTACTACGCCTACTTAAAACTACATTTCGTATTTAATTTTTAACCACACGTGATATTAGTCTCATATCGACGCATGTTTAGCTCTTTTATTTCGTAAATACTTAGTGTTTTTATCTCATTGTGTTTGCAATAAGCGAGACTTCCTGTTCGCGGTTATATTAACAGTTAATTAATCGATTCATGTGCAATTCGTCGAGTTGACTTACGCGCGGATATGCACGTACACGGTGTGTGCGCCATTCTGGCGACGTTGAGCGCCATCGTGCGGCCGGCGTCCACTCAGCACTATACTCGGCAGTGGGTGATGCATGTACCAGGGGGCGCTACGGTCGCTGATCAAGTTGCTGCTGATCATGGATTTCACAATTTAGGAGAGGTAAGTCGATGAAATTTTTACTTCTGAAGGTCTGATTTGACGTATGATTATTATGTGATTGTGTACACACCCACTATCGACTTCTTGGCGCACACGACGCTCTCTTTTAATGCGGTGTGTGCGCCAAGGAAATGGAAACTGGATTAAGGTCATGCGTTGTCCTGACAAAAGTTTTATAAATCGGTATGCAGCGTTGATTCTTATAAATTCGTGTTTTGTTTATTAGAAATATTCAATTCCTCATTCCGTATTTCTATTGCATTATTCTATTATCGGTTACCTTGTTTAGTTTTGGTATTGAAGTGAATTTGTTGCTATGTAAGTTACAAGGTGAAACTCGAAACTGGGTTTCGTTCTTGTCCGCTTCCTGGTTGGAGTTGGTGTTGGTCGAAATGCGCAAGGTCGAAGAGGTGCGGCCCTGAACTTGCTTGAAAACGAAAGTAAATTTGAGCATTACAACATTAATTAAATATTTCGAATGCAATAAAATAAATTTACATTGGAAGCACCAGCGGATTGCCATGAGTTTCGAATATAATGAATATTTTAAGCGAACATTTTAATAATGTTATTTGTTATTGTGTTTAAATTATGTGGCGTCATAAATGCGAAACGGTAGTAGCTTCGACAGAAGAATTACCAGCTTTACGTTTATTATTTCTTCACTGAGAAATAATGTTTTATTTTTGGTTAAAAAGAGTAAGTTATGTATTGGAGTATTGTTAGATAACTAGGTAGATATAGTAAATGTCAATATCTTTATCTATTTGGATCACTCTCAGAGAATGAACAAAATGAAATATATTTGGACTCAAATTGTGGATTTAATATTTTTGATAATTTTTATAAAATTTATTTTGTTTTAACATGCACGACACAATTTTAAATAATTTTCAACTTGTTTCGTTGATTCTGCGTTTTAATTTCGTCGTTCTGTGTTCTGATTCATAATTTATATTCTTATCATATTCGTCTTATCAATTACTTACTATTTTTACTGAATTTTTTATTACACACATTTATCAATTAAATAACTTCGTTATCTCGAGTATAACTTATCTAATATAATTGCTATTAAAGACGAAATTATTATCTTTATAGGTAACTATTCAAAGATTCAACAGAAATAGTTTTAATTAAATTCCTAGAAAATTATTTGACTTAGAAATTTGTTTCTTCGCGATATTGATTTTACAGTAAATTCTACAACTCAATGTTGATTTTATTCTTGTGCCAAAACTATGAATAATTAACTATCCGAATGATATTTAATATTGAATCTATTTCTACACAAAAAAATCATTTTTACGTCAAGTAAGTGAAAATATTACGAGATATTCGTCACGACCTAATTCTAGGTCTAATTTTGTTTGACTTGTACTTCTACAACGACCAGCAAATTTCCACACAACTAAAATCACATGAAATTATTTAATTTCCCGAAACAGTATTGATTTGTTTTAAATTCTATAATTTATACGTTGAACTCAATCGGCAGATGAGTAATTCAGATGCGTCAACAGTGATTGCAGCCAATCGATCGTCGCCGACTGCGATCAGATGCCTAAATTGTTGTTCGACCCAGTTAATCAATAATTCATTGCGACATGAATTCGGATTCATTCCGAGCAATTAACGCTATTTACATCGTCTGCGAAATCAATAGACACGTTCGACTATGATTAACATCTGAATGCGAATAAATTGCTAAAAATACATGTTGACAATGAAAGTCATCATCAAACTTTAATAATTTTGATACTGTGAACTTTTCCCTGCAAGTTTAAGCAAACTTTTTTTTATATTTTATTTGCTCGACAGCTGATGCTTCTTTTCGCCGGCGGCATGAAAACTTTTTCAATTTTAATCAATGTTTTGCTTTAGGTTTAATAAATAAACACAAACAAAGCTTTAGAGACTTTTTTGAAATTCTAATTCAAATAAAACTAAATTTTTAACAAACGAAATAAAAACAGGATTTATTCATTCGGATTTATAACAGTCGCTTTTTTATTCAAACGCTTGCACTAAAATATTAAGCATACGAAGTAAAACTCAAAGAGGACGGGCGAATAAAAGAAGGATTTCGAGGATTGCGAGATTTATCCAACCGAACGTACTCTTTGAGAACCGCTAAGCGTTCGCGCGCGCATGAGAAGCAGGTTTTGGTAAGGGTTTGTCGAGAGTAGAGTGGAACTCCGCTGGTTTCGGGCACTGGGAAATGGGAAATCTCTGCGAATGTAATGTCTGAATGCCTGAACTCTTTATGCGCGCCACACTCAAACACACGGCGGGCGCCTTTTTCTTAGTCGGCCGCATCTGCCCGCGTGCAAATTAATTGCTTTCGAGCGCGATTTTGAGGAGCCGGATGAATTTTAATCCGATCTGAAGAAAAGCGACGAACGTTGCGATGAAATGAAAACGCGCGCGCGCCGAACACAACGGAGCGAAACGGAGTGAAATGAAAATCCAATTAGCGTAATGAGCTTTCGATCTGCGCAGATTGAATAAGTGATTCATCGAGGCGATGATAGAAAGATGAATAGAAAAATTGAGTGGATTATTCAAAACATGAATCCGATTTGGTTTTTTTATACCAAAAGTTTTTGTTTTCTTTTTGGGATTAAGTTACGTTTATAAATGGCACAAGAGAATTTGTCATGAACTTCGCGCCATTGCACGTCAATACTCAATCGTCATGTGATACCGATACATCTGCTGTTTGTTTTGCGAAAAGGCGGCGTCGGCAGTGAATTTTGCTCAAAATAATAAACAAATGATTTACACTACTTGATGCACTGTGAGTAAACAAATACTAATATGAAGTTTAAAAACCCCGTCTCACAAATAACTTTAATTTAACTTGATTAAATCAAAAATTAAATAAAATCTCATTCTGGCTTAATTTTTATTTAAATTTAATTTTTATCATTTACAAAATTCATGGAAAAGCCAAAAAATTAATTCTATATAAAATCCCCTTTCTATTTATGTCAACTATTATCAAAATTTAATGAATTCGTAAAAAGTTTGAACAAAAAACTTGTTTTGACATGAAAAAAGTTAAAATAGTTGTGTAATATTAAAACAAATATTTGCAGAACAGCAAAAACCGCATGTATATGTATATACATGCCCATGTATTATTATATTAGCACAGAATTGCTTTACAATGTGTATAACTTTGTACAGCGCACACGAATTTACGAGATGCGCGCACATGCATATTTTGTATCTCATCTCAGTGCCCACATACCTCACTCTACGTATATTTCACGTATCCTCGGTTTGCATACTTCACAAGTTCATTTCGACGATTTCCCGCAGCCGGAATTTGAATCCACAGCGCAATAAAATATGAAATGCAGAATTCAAAAACCCAGGCTGGAAAATTAACAACAAAAAAATTGCGGAATTTTTGTATTTGCTTGAGTCGCACATGTGTGATTTACTATTAATTAAAAATATCGATGTATCAATCTGCTGCGCTTGAACCTCACTTTGAATAGACCCAGCTCGTGAAACCCTCGAAAGTTTTTAATTAACGCGTGCATGCGAAACGCGGCAATTACTCGTTTGCGATTGGACTGTTTGACTAATTAATATACCAACTCTTAAATTGCAACCATATTGCAAAAATCAATGTTTGAGTTATGATATAAGTACCGAACACTTTTTATTTCATACTGGCTGTTGCCCGCGACTTCGTTCCGGCAGTGTTTAATAAAAATGTAATTCGTTTTTACTCTCTTGTTCTAGACATACTCGTAGTAAGAGTCAATTCTATCAATAAGATTAGCAATTTTAATTTAAAGAAATTATGCATATAAAGTTTTGTCAATAATGCACTTCAGCGCGCCATCTCGAATTCAACTATTTAACTAAAACTATGATTGATTATCAATGTCAAATTTTATTCTATAGAAAAGAGCTGTTTTGAGGATTTTCCCGGCAATTATTCGAATTTTTCTCACCTTTTATACCTTCCCTAGACCTCCACGAATAATTCAAGACCAAGATAAGGTAAAACCGTTCAGCCGTTCTCGAGTTTTAGCGAGACTAACGAACAGCAATTCATTTTATATATATATGTAGATGATTTTGTGTGTTCATTAATTTGATTTTAATTTCACAAACAAAAATCCTGTAACTTTCGTAAACTTGCGCTGCTTATTAAATATAATCGTGTAAGAAGCTGGAATATAATTTCGCCGCGACACTGTAATCTCCTGTTTGGCAAAGTTGAAACACAGTCAAACAGTGAGCGCAAAGTTTTCGCACTTAAATCTCGACTTGTCTCGAGATAAGTGGAAACATGCGTGCGAATTTAAACGAGGACATTATGATAATAATAACACCAACACGCGTTTGCTAATTTAAAGTTACAGAAACAAGTTGGATGGACTTGAAATGAAACATTTAAATTTCCAGTTTTAGTTGAAATACTTATTCAATAGGAATACAATAGCGCTGTTTATATATTTTTTGTGTGTATTATCTGTATGCAAGGACGGTTTATATTAACGCTGACAAAGTGTTGGCTATCTGTTCGGCCACGTTATCGCACTTCCGTGTCGTTGTCGCGAAAAGTTCATTCAACGTGTAATGAATATGCTCAGAGTAGTTGCGAGGTGAGAATACCTGACACGTAAATTCATTTTTTCTATTTGCATCTTTAAAATGTGTTTTTAGACATAAAAAATTGAAATTTAAACACGTGTCGTGGCTAAAGTACTTTAGTTACGGGTTTTAGTCACGGGCTGGATATATTGCACCCAAAAATAAAAATTACTTATTTAGACAACTTTTAATTAAAGTTTACTCAGAAATATTTATTTTTTTAATTTTTATTCCATAAATATATTGACAAACCAACTACTCCATTGATAAAATAGAAGTTTTGCGGTGACAGTCATCGGCGTGTAATTGCATTGTCATATTGTACGTGCATAAGCCGCGCAGTGCGTGGAATGGTGGATATTGAAGACATAATAAGCGCG